TTTTTTTAAATGTCCTGTATTCTCTGTCGTCATTAAGCTTTTAGGAAACTGCTTCAGGACTTGCTGAGTTATGAATGTGTTTCCGATAAGAACTCTGTCTCATTGTGGTTCAAATGTTGTTTAAATAAATAAATAAATAAATAAACCAGTAAAATCATCATAAACGTCTGTGATTATTGTCTGCTGCAGGTCTGATGAACCTGGGCGTCCCTTGTCAGCAGTTCCTGCTCCACATGCTGACTCAGCTGCTGAAGACCTCCGACAACACGATCAGATATCAAGACCTGAGCAGACAAGTGCAGACACTGAGGTGAAGCAGACCGGTTTCTATATTCTCTAGAGTACATTCTTAATTATTCTCCTACTTTTATTGCAACATACGTGATTGTTTTTGTCCTCAGCGACAGCACAGAGGTCCACACTCAGATGTCAGAGGACTCCAGAAACAGTCAAGCAGCAGCTGAAGCAGGAAGCAGCAGCTGTTTGGAAGGTCAACATCAGCAGAGGCTGTTCGACCCTAAAAACCACAGCAGGTACCCAGCATGCATTCACACAGAACATAGTAGAACTCTGTTTTTACAAATAGGTGCAAACAGACATGAAGACAGATTAAATCGTAATGTTTGTAAAATCTACCAAACTTTACAAATTATAAAATGAGTCCAATGTACATTTTTTAAGCATTTTCATAAATCTCTTTGCAAAACCTGAATTTGTGTTTCCATCCACATGTTTTGATGCCCATTCTTGATTTGTGAATTTGTGCAAAAACCTGAGTGAAACCCTGGAAATTCAAATATGAATTCAAAATACTGTTAAAACAACAACAACAACAAAGCTGAGGTGGAAAAGAGAGGAAATCATTCTATCTGTGTGGAGTGATGAGGAATCTGTACTGTTCCTCACATTATGACATGAAACCGAGAGAAATGCTGCGTTTTCACCATCTGAGCTTTAACAATTTGACTTTTAATTGTCTTGAACTCCTCATAGTCACATAATGGTTATCAAAAAAAGATTTAGCTGATTTTGTAAACATCCAGGTAACATCTGTGTTTTGAATGGAAACCTGACCTGTGATTTGATCAGGACGTCTTGACATGTGTCATCTCTAGTCTATATAATGCTACCAAATATACTTAGACTTTACTGGGAACCACTAGATTAAACTATCTGAGAATGCCAGTTCACTTTTATTTTTATTATTTTAAGTACATTTTAAAAGCAGGTCTTTCACTTATAAAGGAGTATTTTCTTCATTGCTGCATTGGGACATTTAATGATATAAATACTTCCTCCACCACTGTTAAGTACAGACATGAAGCCACAAATTCCCTCTGACTTGTTTTTAGAGCTAATGGGAGGAGCAGGCGCTGGTTTTAACCTAATGTAAAATATAATAAAACCAGACAGACACCAGCCATGTCCTGAAGAAAAGCTTCTGTGGCTGAAGTGGAGCAAACTGGGCAAACTCCTGACAAACCCAATCAGGCCAAGTTGACATTCAGACCAAACCTCGATGTGTGAGGTTAACCAGGCCGAGTTATTCCTGACCCTCAGCGCTCAGCAGTAAATCACTGCGACTCCTCTAACGCCTGCATTCAGACGCCCAAAATTACAACTTCAGGACACAAGTAGCCTCAGCAGCTCTGCAAACAAAGGAGCTCAGTGCGACCTTTACTTGGCCTGTGGACAGGTGGTCTAGCTTTTCTTGACCTGGCTGCTCTAATTGTTTTTTCTGTGGGACACAATGATGTTTGAACAAGTCAGTTCAGCTATTCTGGGAGTAAAGCATCCAAACATTTGGTGTTTTAGCTCCTCAGCTGTGAAAACTTAATGCTTTTTCATTATATTAAAGTAAATATCTTTGGGGGTTTTTTTGCACTGTGGGATCAAATAAGATACTTTAACTGTTGTTGATGTTATTTAGAGCCAATAGAGAAAATAGACAACATGCTATGGACATAATCGGTTGTTGCTGGCCTACTGAGGTGAACTGCTAATGCACAATTAAAAGTGTTGTTTAGTCACAGAACTAAGTATGCAGTAAAACACATAAATAAATAGACAGCTAGAGAACAGCTGTGTGGTGTAAAATGACATTTTTACTGCCACCAACCAGCAGCTTCATCCGTCTGAGCGTCAGACTCGTCCACTTCGACTCGTCTGCAGCCCATCCAGGAAACTTTGAGGTGGTTTTGTCGAGCAGCCGCAGAGTTTTGGGCCTGATCAGGATGATCGAGGACCGAGTCGGGATCCAGACCTCCAGGCTGGATGTTTTTCGGAGCAGAGTGCCCACGGAGGAGGCCCGCCTGCCCCCGGAGAGCTCCCTGGAGGAGTGTGGTTTCAAAGGAGGGCCAGAGGAAAGTCCTCCAGAGGCCACAGTGTACTACGACTACACACTGCTGTTTACAGACTGTCCCATCCTCAACTGTGACCACTACTTCCAGGCAAAGCCAGATTCTGCTGCCAGCAGGACTGGACACTGTCTGTAAATGACATAACACTGATAGTTCCTAGCCAGCTAGCCGCATGCAGCTACACGGCTGTGTTGAGTTCGGTCGTTGTCCTTTAATTGTCTTATAAATAGGATAGATTACCTCAACTTTCTTGCTCTGATGAAGGCTGTGATATTCGAACATATGAAGTTCTACATGTAACTCTTCTTCAACACATTTCTCCACGACTGAACACGGCACAGCTTCAACATAAAGACACTACAGTGAGCCATCAGGAATACTTACAGGTCTTAAAGGTGGATTTATGTCAGAAAGCTGCAGGGAGCTTCACACTCAGCACCTTATGGCCTGTTTACACTCTAATTACACACTCAGGGATGTAATTGAAGTCAGAGTGTGCAAATCTTTACACCAGCATAAAGCAGTGCTTTTAATCAGGGCCTCAGGGGGGCCACAGAGGCTGAACTGTGCCATGCTGGAGACAGTGGAAAGTGCCTGGCTAGTGGAAACCACAGAGCGGCTATAAACAGCGGCCGCTAAAGCGTGCCATGCAGCCGACACACCCAGCAGCTTCCCTGCTGCTCCACCCAGAACAGCTTTTAGATCCCAGCTGCAAATGTACTTCAGTCCGAACCCTGATGCTGTTAACAGGAGGAGACAAGTTTTCAAAGTCAAAAATAATATTTATTCCATAAAATACTGCGAAATATAAATATTACAAAACAGAATACTTTGAGTGAACTTTAACACTGTTTACACAAAGGAGGAAAACATAAACAGACTTCAGGTGATCGGAATTTGTTGGACATACAAGAATCTCCTGATATTTGTTTTTATTTTTTAAATCAGCTGCTTATTGATGAGCAGCTTTATAATTTGGGAATCTTTCATCCATTAAACCTGCAGTACATACAGCATTAGTGTATTATATGTGTGAAGAGTCGACAGAGTGAAGCAGAAAAAGCTGAACATTATAACAAACATTGTTCTTCATATTTTCATATGTACAGTAGAATATATTGATCTAAACTACAATAAAGTGAGTTGTTTTAGCTGTTTAGCATATGTTTGCTTTTATTATTGAAGTGGGTTTTCAAAGGGATTTGAAGCTGAGGAGTTTAAAGATATAATGCTTAAGCTTTCCAGCATTTATTCTTCGCAAAGGATTAGTTTTAGTCATGGGTACGAGGGGCAGGACTCAGACACATCAGCAAGGACACAAACTGTAATGTAGCCTGTTAGCTGTAATATAGCAGCAACACAGAGATGAGTAACTGACTTAAGAAAATACAGGATTTTGTGTCATTTTCAAACAAAAATGCCACCAAACGTATGTGAATATGTGAACATTTGTTACATATTCATCTTATGTTATAGTAAACGTAATATTTGCTGATTTGCACAAACAACTGGAAAAGCACTCAGATGATATTATATATATATATATTAGTTATCTGAGGCTTTAGGCAACACTTACTTAGGTTTTTTTGTGTGTGTGTGTGTGTTGAAAAATGAATTAAATGCTAGAAATTCAAATGACGGTTCACTTGCAGCATACTCAGGTGCAGATTTTGTCCAGTCTTTTTGCATAGTAAGAGATCCGAGGCAGCAGGATAAGGAGAACAGCGGCCTTGAGAACCCTGATTACAGTCATTCCTGCACGAAGACAAGAGGACATTTTACAGTGTAAAGATCTGTGACGCTTTGAAGGCCACAATGAAAATGACCAGCTGCTACAACTCACTGAAAATCATATTGAGTTTCCTGTTTTGGTAAGTTTCTCGTTCAAAAGTAAGAATACTGACGAACATATCTGAAACAGATGAAATCATTCCATCCTGATGCCCGCAGGCAGAGTTTTTAACCTTAATGACTCCTCAACAGACTAAATGACCAGCTAAGATGTTTGATTTTGAAGTGTAAAATGTACAGTTTCACAGTAGAAATAAGCATAATTTAAAAATGAATTTCAAAATAATTCCAGTTGAATCCAGACGTGCACCATCCCGCAGATGCTCCCGTGTAGTCAGACATTCAGATAGATGTGTCTCAACTGCAAATCGCCACAGACGCCTACTTTCCCCACGAGAACCGAGCAGAGTTTGTTTATAGGCCAGAAAGAGGCTGGGACAGCAAAAATGAGCTTTTTAAAACTTCGCCTTCCGTCTGCCAACGAAACGCCCACAGTCTGAGTTTGGTGTGAGATCGCAGAGTCTTTGGTTGATTGTCGCGACGCTCTTTGCGCACGAAGCTCCATTCCACAACGAGTGAGAAATAAAAAGCAGGAAGTGTGTTTTCCTTTGGTTGGGGAATCCATCCTGTGAGAAATACTGACTTTGGATGCAGCAGGAAGGATGAACCTCACGTCCTCCAGTATTCCCAATTGCACTTGATCGTCCACCAGCGCTCTTCCTTCAGCATTTAGTCGTAGCCGAGGCCTTGACGCTTGTTTTTGCGTCGATCTTGGCGACCAGCAGCCTGAGAGAGTCTCCTGATGATCGAATCAGCTCTCTCCCCCTGAAATGAAAACACACAGACAATAAGCTGTGAGATCAGGCCTCTATTTGCTGAGTGTCTAAGAAGTTAGCGGCACTTGAGTCTTAGACAAGGACAGTTGATGTTTTACACTCACGAATCAAGACACTGTGTTGAAGTTTCCTGACATTTTCTCATTTAAAATCTTAACATTTGAAAAGAAAACAAAAGAAATGCTTAAATAATATCAAAGGGGACTAAGTTATGTGGGCTTTTTATGCAGAAATTTGACAACAACATCAATAAATAGCATAAATTTCATAATATTTGTCAGTGAATCAATCAATGACAGAGAAACTTTATGGCTTCAACCATTAACATGTAAAATGATGCATTATTAGTAGTTTACACAGCTGAAATCTGAATGTAATCCTGTCTGAGTGAAGTGAATCACCTTCCTTCTACCAGATTTTATCAGTAAAATCTGACTTTTGTGTGAAAATAGAGGAAATGAAAAATACTTTTGCTAATCTGATGGAAACATGTGAACACCAACATATGGAGACATTAACACTATCAGCAGAGCCACATCCCATAAGCTGATTAATGTCCTGTTGTAATGACAGCACCAGTAAATCCTGCTGTGTTCTTTTCAACCCTGTTTTTAGCAAGTATTTGTTCACGTTTTGTCAAATTGGTGAAATTAAAAGTAGCCAAATTAGATACCAGCAGCTCCTGTTTGAATGTAGATGTACAAACAACTATCATTTGATTACTGCGGGATAAAAGGAAGCTTGAAAATGTAAACTCTCTTTTTCTATGATTTTTCAAGCAGATTTATTGATGTTTGGGTCTTTAAATTAATGCGTCTATTTTGTCTCTATGGGTCTTGCTAACTTTGTGCTCTCCACCTTTGTCGTAGAGATTCTATGAGACGAGGAGTTGCACAAAAAAACGCATCTTTCTAAAAAGAAAAGTGAATTTAAGCTAATTCTGGTAAAAGACATGTACAATATTTGGCATGGTCCCTAAAAAACAGAACAAGTAGTTTGTGATAATCTCTTTACTTCTGCTCCTTCATGGCTCTTCTTAATATTGCTTATTTTCTAAATCACTACTCTTAAAAGTAAAAATAAAAAAACATCACTCTGAGGATTTTTGCTCCACTTGGACTGATTTTTTATTTTTTTATTGTGAATTTCTTCCTAAATACACTCCAGACTGCTATCAGCAGAGTTGGTGTACTTTAATACTCACGTGTTATATTCCATCCCAACCAGGCTGATGCCGTTCACAGCCAGGATGCGATCACCTGTTCTCAGTTTCTGACACTTGGCAGCCGGAGAGTCGGGAACCACTGACTTCACATAAATGCCACTCATTCTCAGCGGCGTTTTCTACATAAAGATAAAACATGACAAAAAATCGGATTATTGAGCGCTATGAAGGGATTCTAGAGCTGAAATGTCACTAAGACTGAAGTATTTCAACAACTATTTTGTACACACATTCCCAGATGACTGATTCTTTACCTGTAATGCCATCAGCAGGTTTAGATTTTAGGCTCAGAGTCAAATATCTCTGCACGTGGTGGATGCTTTAATATAAAATTAACTGAAGAAGCTTCCTGAAGGAGGAGCTGTAGTCAGTTTGGTGACTGAATAATATGACATTCCTATTAGACTTTGTTGTTCTCGTTTTGGAACTTGTGTCCACCAAAAGACCACAAAAAATTCAGCTTACAATCACAGACAGCTGAGAAAACTCTTCCCATTGAAGAGGCTGGAACCAGTGAAGTTTTAGCACTTTTGATCATTCATCTGATCAGCTAATCAACGAGCTGCTTCAGTTCCACATTAGAGAGCAAATATCTGTGTTCAGACATTATCTGAAAGTTGCTCTGTTCCACACTACTATTATTTCCACTGTCAACCGTAATGTTAACTAATGAGCTGTATTAAAATACAAGTATCACTGAACCACATTAGCTCTCGTCCATGAGATCGAACTGTGGAAGTCATTAGGAACATTTAGTGTGATTAAATGTGCCAGTTGAGGTGAAACCCCTGCAGTTCACAGTCTGATCTGATTAGTGTTTGTCATGGGACCTCAGGAGCTACACAAGCTTTTTTTTTTCTATGTCCAGATTAACACACGTAGGAGCTTGTTTTTCGTTTCATTTTATGCTACTGATGCACTAAATACTTGCTGCTAAATCAGTGTGTCGTCATACCATTCCATCTACGAGCGCCAGTCCAAGACCATGAGGTCCTCTGTGAAGCTCCACTGTGAACACTTCCTCTCTGTCTTCTTCTGTTTCCACATTTACCGTCTTCCTCTCAGCACTTCCACTGGCTGAACAAACACAGAGAGAAACATACCAACAGATTTAGTCTTTGTGCATCAACATGATAAATGCCAGAAATAAACCACTGACAGTTTAAAAGAAACCTCCGAGGTCAGTTAGAAGTGACCCACAGAGTCAATATATCAATTTTTGGAAACACAAAATAACACTTTTGCAGACAAATAGACAATTATGTTGTTTATGTTGATGTTATTTCTGCTTTGTTGTTAGTTTGGTGCTTTAAATGCGAAGCTCTTTGTCACTTTTCCTTCCTTAAAAGGTGCTATATAAATAAATTAATTACTTACACAGCCTTGACACCAACAAAGAACTATTTTAATTACTGATTTATCAGTAGATCTTATTTTGTTTTTCAGGGGAAAAAAATGCTTGTCTTAATTCACTGTTTCCAATTTTCTCATGTTGAAATGGCTGCCAGTCAGTTCTAAAGAGTCCAGGTAAAGCTCAGAAAAGGTTCAGAAACGTGTCGTGTAGGTGACGTAGATTTTGGCTTCTTCTTCTAAAGATTGGGAGCTTAGCAGTTGTTACACCGATCAGCAGGAGCTGAATGAGGAGCAGGAATTTATGACTTGAATGCAATATTATATGAGATTGTTTTTAGGTTCTCAGCTGGGTTACATCTGCACTCCTGTAAATGAATTGAGTTCCAGTCTTCCATTGTCTTCTGGGTAAATGGACCAAGTGCAGGTTAGCATGTTGCGGTGCTCTAACATGGTCCTGTAGTCTTCCTCTGCCTCATGAGGGTTGTTCTGTCACAACAACAGCAACAGTAGCCTTCCCCAACAGACCTGTTCCCAGCCCTGCACCTCCAGCCCCCCACCACCACCCAGCGGATCCCCTCCGCCTTTTCCCGACATGCAGCCTGTCTGCCCCCCACGCAGGACCTGCCCCGAACAATGCCGCTGCCGATTAAGATTCCATGCAACAACCCAGCTGTAAATTCCCATGACGGATCGGCCACTGCTCTTTTCTCTCCTGACATCACCACCTCTCTGTAACTCCTCTGGCCAGATTAAAGGATTACCAAACTTTGAAAATAACATCAGTCGCCGGCCAGAACCACAGAGGTAGATGTAGTGGAGGTCGAGGTTCGGGTCGCCGTGGTGGGATAATGGTACAGAGCTCCCAACGACATGTAGGGAACAGGACATTTCCAAAACTCTCACTAACTTCATCCATCCATGATGTAAACATGATCTTCAGTGTTTGTTTATGAAACATTAGGAACATTGAAAACTTCCCCTCTTGCTGTAAATTTGGACTAAACTCTCTTCAGAATGACAACTCAGTGTGACTGAACCATCCCCAGATTTCTAAAGAGAATTAAAAAAAAATCTGAATACAACTTTTCTATCTCTCAAAAATGAATGTCCTGACTGAGTGTGAGAGTGTACTGACTTTACATATGCTGTACAAATTAATAAAATACAAGCAATTACATCATTCAGTCAGTCTTTGTGCTGTTTGTGGAAAAAAAAGTGAATTATTAGATGTGTTTAGCTTTTGAAATGTGAGAACTTGATACCGTTCCTTGTATTACTTTAAACTATACAGAATATCACCAGGTTTTGGACTATTGGTCAAACAAAATATGACATTTATTTATTTGAATTAACATGTTTCACCATTTTTTTTTTTCAGTTTTCTAACTGAAATATTTACCCAATGAACTGAATAAACAACCAGCAGATTAAATGATAATATAAACAACTGTCAGTTTTAGCCCTAGTTTAGCAAGCAACTTTAAAAATGATCATTTACTGCTTTTTGGGAGAATTTATTACATTTTTATGGTCTTAATTTATAGTGGTTTAACTTCCTTTAACAAAAAATGTTAGAAGAAAACGTTTCAGATTGAGAGTCACATTGCTACAAGTGCAAAACATGATTATTCATTGATGTGCTGATTATTTTCCTGATGAATATGTTCGTAGTTTAGGCTATAAAACATAACATGTTACCTGAAAATACCCATTCCAGCATCTCAGAGCAAAAAGTGACGGTCCTAAACTAAAAAATATCTAATTAAGAAATTGTTACAAAAGGAAAGTCGCAAATCCATCAAATATTTGACGTTTAGTCTTGGAAAAACAGATCATCAAAATAGTTGCTGATAAACTGTCTGTTGCACTTGTATATAATAGGATAAATCATGCAGATTACACTATGGAATTACCTGCGTAAAGGACATATATGGAGACAGAGAGTGTGCCAGATGGCTTCGCTTCAGTGTAATCCTCAAAGCATTTAAGCAAATTACTTTTGATAAAAGCATTAAGAGAGAAAACACAAAGCAACAAGTAGCCAATGAGAGTAAAGACAGCTGATTAAGACCAACGAAATCCTGCAGCTTAAAGTGCTTCTGCAGGAGCACACTGGGGGGTCTGTTAGGGAGCGCATTAACACAGGTTCAACCTCGAGCACATGTGACCAGGAGTGTTTCTGAAGGTCTGATTCAGATCTGAGAGTGTCTGGACCACTTTCCTGAATCCAAATGTTGAAGTCTTTTTTTGTAAATAAGCCATCAGTCTGCTCGCTTTGCTGTGACTTCTGTTTTTATTTGGTCAAAATAAGTCAGTTTGATGAAGCTCATGTTAGTCTTTGCGATTTATTGGCTGAGATTAACAGTGTTGGTGTTGTAATTTTTGTTCCAGAGTTGTGATTCATATCATTGGGTAATGTATGATGGTTTATCCTGCATAGAGGAAAAGAGGTTTTAGCCAGTTGAAACTCACCAGTGTCAAAAGGATAAGAAATTAGTAAAAAAGAAAAAAAAACTCAAGCATAATAGACATTTTGGTTTTCGATATTATTATTATTATTATTATTATTACTATTATTATTATTATTATTATAATTCCAATCCACTAACATAGAGGTGGTGGACTTCATGATCTATTCTGCCAGTAGCTGCCACAGGGCGAGACATTTTGGCTTCATCTCTGTCATACGTTATGTCTGTGGGTGGAAACCCTCATCCTGATGCCTGAAGCTTACATACAGTGCAGCTTCATCGAATATTTCCAAAAGTGGTATAAAAATAGATAATTATGCAGCCAGCAGCATCATTTCAGTTTTATACTGCCTGAAAAAACAAAACAAAACATGGAACATCCAGATTTCAGTTTCGAGTGGTTAATGTTCTCAGTGACTCCCTCTTACTCCTACACATGACCTCATGATGGAGGCGTCCATAAACAATAAGGGTGGGAGAGGAAGCACTCTTTCCTTTGCACAGTGAACCCACCCTGCGTAGCCTTCCACTTGAAATTCCTGACCGCCAGAGTCAGTAAAAGATGAAGGGAGGAGGCGCTCCACGTCTTTTATGTCTGGGTACCTTTATGTGGACCTGGAACCGGGGGGGACAAATATGCAGCCGGTGCACAAGGTCAAGTCACTAAATACTTTCCTTAATAGATTCAGGCAGCCATAGAAGGTAAATGAGGTTTTGGGAGGAATGAGCGCCGGTGACCTCATTCTAGACGTTAGTAACAGGGGACGAGGTCGGAGCTGAAGTGGCAGAGCTGTGTGTCATTTGAATCAAAACCTGCTGTGTGTAAGTGAAGCCGTGAATGGGCCTTTCAAATGCTGCCGGTTTGTCATCATGTGTGACGGCTGTGTGGTTTGCTCTTTGTTTCACACTCTCACTCGCCATTATCATCTGCTGTTGTCAGGTTTCAGTTAATGTCTTTCAGCTGTTTGTGTGGCTTTAAAAAGACCACTCTGAAGCATCTCTGAAGCCACAGAAAGAATATATGTTGAACCTGACCAGGAAAATTTCATTATTGATTAATGTGGGGATGTTTTTGTCAATTAATCCATTAACTGTTTTAGATATTAAGTAGTGAGATCTCATATCCTGTTAAGTTCCCAGAATGTCCTTGTTATATCCAACCAACAGCCAAACAAAAATGACAAATGTATCGGTATCGGTTCGATGAACGAATTTAGGTTAAGTGACATTTTCAAGCTGCTTGTTCTGATCAACCAACATTGCCAGAACCAACTGCTCTCTGACTGGTCCAGCCTGAAGAATACATTATCTCACGAGTGAGGCAGAGATTGTGCCGAAAATAGGAACACGTGACAGACCAGAGCCTTTACCAAAGGCAAAAACTAGCCAGCAGTGGCAACTGAGAAAGTATCCTGGGGATGCTGGTATGGAGGCAGGCATGTAAATGACTCGGCCTAATGACTGGACTCAGACTGCGCGTGACTCGTCTCATTAAGATAGGGCAGCAGCTAAATCAGTCAGTGACTTCAAGATAGAGGTAGACTTCTGTGGCCTTTCAGTAGTTCTATTTTCTGCACACCTCCTGCACCATACACTATGTACAATGAATGTATGCATATGTACATACTGTACATTGTTTGCTATGCTCTTTATTTACTTGACAACACCTGAGAGAAAGGAGAAAGAGAAAGGATTGAAATACTTTAGTGCAGATCTTTAGTCCAACTTTTGCCTTCCGTTACCTTTCTTTAGCTGGCGGGCACCCTCCTGCAGGTCAGCCTCCAGCTCAGCCAGCTCCATACCTTGTGGGGTGTTGGGTGGCGTGAGCAGGCAGGACGGGTCCAGCGCCAGGCTCTTATGGTAGCCCATGTCAGCCTGTCCTGGGAGGGTGTTCTGCAGCTCCAGGCTCTTCAGCTTCTGGGTCAGGACTGCCTCACAGCTACTCAGGTCCCCATGAGATCCCCTGGCCTGAGCTGGTTCTGTAGGGGATGCACAGTGGCGCAAGTCTGCCTCAGGGGTGGGACAGGTAGCTGGGTCAGAGACCACCTGATGGGCAGGATCTTGGAAGACTCTGACAGAGGGCGAGGTCGCAGACTGGCTGTCTGTTGTCGTCCCGCTGAGAGCCTGAGTTTGGGAAATATAAAGTTAATCAATAGCAGATGTAGAAACATCAAAGTGTTTTAGTTCCCGACTGCCTCTGGCTTTGTGTTATGTTGTTAAGCCGTGGGGTCAGAGAGCTCGTTACCTGTTCCTCCACATCGGCTCGGGTTTGGGTTTCACTGTGGGGCAGCCGGCGAATGAACTCTTGTAGACGACCAAGCTGCTCAAACAGAGCCGGCTCCACGATAGGTTTACCCAGCTCCAGGTGAAACGTGCTGCTGGGCAGGATGAGCGGCGGGTGGTTGTCGAAGCTCTCCAGGATGTCGGCTGCAGGGAGACGGAAGATGTCTGTTATCATGCATCGCAAACAACCTGACCTTTGTTACAGTCTTCTCATGAAATTCGATGCTGTCAGTTTAAGTAAAGCTGCTGCATGTGGGTTAACACTTCATTAAGAGCAGTAAATAAAGTGCAGGACTTGTGCTGCAGACCAGAACAGGCGCTGGTGTTTCACCCAGCAGGGTGCAATCAATCCGAATGAACGAAGAGGTGAACATAGGTGACCACTGGGAGAAGAAGCTGTGGACTGACGCTGATTGGTGGAGACAGACTGACAGGACAGGATTACTCCGGAGGAATACGTCCACATTCAGCCAGGTAAAACTGACTCTTTGTGTCTGTTTCAGCTCTTCGTTTAGACTGAAGTGGCGTCTTTCTCCCCAATAAACTGAGCTTTTCCCAAATGGCCTCCAGAGCCCATTAAGGGCACCACCAAATATGATGATAAATTTAAAGTTGTGAGCATCTACACTGATGTTAACAGTGGAACCGAGAACATGCTGCACACTCCGGCTGTATCACAGTATGGAGATATCGCCGACCTGCGAGTGCTTTATGTTGCACAGAAACATCAGAAACACAATCAAAAGGATGTGAGTACACAAAATTAGTCCAGGACGAGAGGAGTTGGGATAATCTGGCACTCTGTCACAACAGCTGTCATACTTTGTGACAAAATGTATTCATCCTTGATATGAGTCAACACCAGCTTGATGAATGGTAACGTGTCTGCACTTATATGGCGCTTTTCTACACACATTTACACACCAATGGCAGCAGACCTCAAGTTTTGATCCTTTATTGTGTGCATAAACTTTTTTGCAGTGGCGCCTTGGGAAAATGCCATGATAAAACAAAATTTTTGTAATGAAATAAAGCAAACAACTCTAATAAAATTTATATATAAACTACAGTAAGAATAATCTAACATTTTATAGTAATGAATTGAGTTTAAATTATTACACTTTATTTTGCTCAATATTTAGCTACAGTTTATTCATGTTTGTCCTCATGGTATAATGTCTAATTAATTTTATTTATTACTGGCGACTTTGGGTCTCTGAACATGTTGTGGTCCAAGTCTGCAAAACTGTGTAATTTCTAACAGACAACGTAACATGAAAGGAGACAAGCTCATTTAACTGTACACGACTTAATGACAAACAACTGAGAGTGTAATGAATATAATAAAAAACAGGAGCGCATTAAATGGAGCAGCACGGGCTGATCCGCAGCTGATGTTTAAGCAACACTGAGCTTTCGACAGAGTTTCTGAGCATAGTTCAGCTCTCTTGTTTGATCAAGTAATTAAACTTGCCGCGTTGTCTGTTATTTATCATGAAGTCTTACGCAGTCATGCATGCCTGCTGTCAAGTTCTAACATGTAAGCTACACAATAGGTTGTTCTGATTCTTACTGGAGTCTGGTTACTGCAGTTTACTGTAAACAAAAAGTCATCTTGTGGAAAGAACAGCTGAGAAAATGCTTTTAGTCTCATGATATTGGGCAAACGGTCATTTCATAATCCATTTTAATGGACACTGAATTGCTGAGTGTTTAAACAATCTGCCACCTATCTTTTATAACATTCAGAAATGTGCAAAAACAAATTCTGACAAATTCCAGGTTATATTTTTATGATGGTATGCAAACAGGTAAGGGGGGAAAATGGTGAGACCATTGTGTGGATAGAGGAAACCTGACTACAAAAAATTTAAAAACATATTTGCTTTACATGCTCATTTTTAGTTATTATCAGCATATTTGCAGAGAATTGTCACAGTCATCATGGGGTAAAACCATAGACTGTATACAAATCCTACATAAAACATATAAAAAAAATATATGTGGATGTTTAATGCATTAACAAAAACAAGAGATAACAAGAAACAAGAAAAAAAGGGCATGTAAATGTATTTTGCAGCCAAGTTACAAGCGAGTGAAACACTTGTGGAGCACTTTGCATCAGCTGAATGTCAGATTAATCATACCCTTGGGGTGATTTTCAAAACCAAAGAACATCTGTGTTGTCTCAGAGGGGGAGTTGACAGTTGTACATTTCTCTGCCACATCACCATTAAAAACGCTGGGCTACACAGTTGCAAAGCTAGCTTAAGCTAACTATCTATCTAGCTAGGCCAGCTAAATGCCCCCTATTGTTCCTCAGGCCTGCAAGAATCTCACAGGTGACTTATTTGAACCTTGGACAGTGAATCCGGGATAGACAGAAAAGCCTTGAGATATCCTAAGCTTTCATAATTGATAATCCATCCAATTACTTTCCCTATGAAATGTAAAGAAAATACCTTCACAGTTTATCAGAATGCAACATGACATCTTTCAAGTGTTTGTAGCAAATATAATAAAACATTTGAGTAGCTATTTTAGCCAGAATTTGCTGAATTAATAATTATTCTAAATTATTCTGATTAATTTCCCATCCTACTAATTACTGTTTTATTGTTTGTACTGTCCGTGTCACTACTTTCTTTCTCCATCTTTATATTGTTATCTACAGCTACTATAGTGTGTTCATACATCTCTGTCATGTCTGTTCCTCTGTCACTCACCCGTCCTGACAGCGTCCTCTGCATCATCCACTGATGGGTTCCATCCGGCAGGGCAGGCCTTTCCAGAGCTGTACTCCCTCAGCATGTGGTGAAGCTGGGCAGGTTTCAGAGCAGCAAACTCAGTCCTGAGAGAAGCCCAGGACGCCTGGATGAACATAAAACAACAAAGAAAACACATAACATTGAAAAACATGCAGCAAACTCATTCTGAACCCATTTATAATCTTAAAATGGAGGATAGTAAAAGCACTCCACTGAAGAAAGAGCCACAAAAGCTCTTTGTAGTCTTTGTGAGAATGACAGTGTGGCAGAAACAACTATTTTCCCATCATGCTCGTTTTCAGCAAACAGTCACTGCTACTCTCTCATTTGCATGAAAAGTATTTTAAACCAATTACATGATGTATAAGCAGTTTTTGTTCCCTTCACCCCAGGGCCAGATGTGGTAACCAAGCCTCATGGGAAAATATTTCTCAGTCTGAATGTAATGCTGGTGAATACAGTAGCACTTTAAGTGTCACTCTGATCTCACTGCAGCTTTTCGTGTGTTTACTCTGCACTCCAATAAAAGGTGAGAGCTGGGTTTCATTAAAGTAAAACTAATTAACACGTCCTGCTTGTTTTGTGCAGCGTGAGAAGTGCAAACTTTTCATTAGCTCTCGGCTCAGCCTCTCAGGTCGCCGTGAAAATCCTTATCATGAAATATGATTACTGCCTCGCTGCCGCTCTCACTCATCCACACTTGAGAAAGACAATGTTTGATCTTTTGATGACTATAGAAGCAGGTGAGTCACTTGCCAGCACCACTCATGTGATTATTGTGAGAGACACATTACATAGTTCATTCAGTCTGTTCCCAGTTGAATTGGTGGAAGTAAGACTTTGCCTAGACACGCTGAGGCCACAATAGAAACCATAAGCTAAATGTTGTTGCCCTGCTTTTACAACACAGACGCCATACTGAGCTCAACAGAAGCTGAAGTTTAAATTCTGCTTATAAACAACTGAAACTTAAAAATGTCTCTGTTATGTCTGAGACTTAATGTTCGGCAGCTATATTTTCCCAAAATAACTCAACAGATGTTGTGTTCTCCAAACTGCTGGCTAAACAAGCGACGCCACATCCCTCTGGTGTAATTTACAACTGTGCCAGCGAGCCACTTCAGTTCTTAAAAGCCCAGAACTACAGATGGAAAAGTAAAAATCTGACGAGGGTGTGTGCTGTTTTGTAGCAGCCACAAAGTGACCTCATGCCAGGGGAGGGATGCATAAAAGCAGCAGCTTCTTAGCAACCATCCAATCCCACAAGCAGACGAGACAGAGCCCTCAACAGCTGTGCCACGGGTGGGCTGGTGCTGCGACTGCGAGTCATACAGTGAAAACAGGTGTCAAACTGAGTGTAAAACTAGGCCTCATACTTAACCCAGTTCCTCCATGTACAGGCTTCTCCACTGATGTAGACAAGGATCATCTCAAGTTTAAATTAGCTGTGTTTACCTCCAACAATCATAAAAACCTTCTTCTCTACGAGTTATTCCGAACCAAAATAAACCAATTCATTCAACTCACCTAAATAAATGTATAAAATTTACTAGTTAGCAAGTGACCAAACATGTTCAAATATTTAGCTAAAACTAGGGGATAACAGTTTCGACATATAGGAAATAAAAGAAGTTGTAATAGATATACAGCTGAAATGGTGAGCTACAGCAATTGGTAAACACTTTAAAAAGCTAAACGTGTGTATAAAAATTTGATTAAGAGCTAGCTACCAGTAAAAGATGAGCAAGGATAACTGAACACTGTCAAAAGTAATAAATTCATGTTTGAAACGGGTATAGCAAGAGATACCAATGTTAAACTGTTAGCTAAAGTCATGGATATGCAGCTGAAATTGTTAGTTTGAGTAGTTAGCAAACAGCTTAAAAAGATGGCTACCAGTAGTGGAATTAAACAGGGGGAAATGATTGAAAATATGGATTTAAGAGTTGAACCACTTAGCTAAAGTAATGGATACGCAATTGAAATTGTTGTTTGAGTAATTAGTAAATAGTCGTAACTGCTAAAAGTGTGCATAGGAAGTTGAAAAAGCTAATGACAGATAAGAGTAAATGTTCGAAAACAAGAAACAGAAAAATGTGTGAAAATGCTAATGCAGCTTAGGTAATGGATTAACAGTTTAAATAGTCGGTTAACTGAAAGCAGTTGGCTAAAATTGTTGGTTGCTGTAACTAATTTTAGCTAATGTAGCTAACTGATATATAATCTAATGAGTTAAAGTAATGGCTAAATTTTCAAAGTTATTTTTTTTAATTTACTTTTTTGCAAACAGTGATTATGATTGAAATAGCTTAACCCCTAAGTGAACATCTGGTGTATTATCCATCATTAAAAAGAACATTTGAGTGGTGCAGATGAAACCGTCCTGCTGATGGGACACAACATTAACTATAAAACAGTTGGAAACTACTTTTCTATATCACTGAAGACGTTTAAAGACATTCCTGGAAAGTCCTGTGGCCTCAGGCTGCTCAAGAAGGCATAAATATAAACTGGTAATCCACCCTCCCCTCAATCCGGACTTATTTAAACTGCCTTTCTGTCCTTAAGTACCGTCCCTTTGATTTACAGTAATCCCTCACTGAGTTATGTCCCACATTAACGAACTGTTAAACAAACACATTACCCTAAACCCATTCATCTTGTCAAGCTGACAAAGTATCACAAATAAGCCTCAATCTGAGTCACATTGCATGTAAAATACTTATAAAGTCATGGGGTTACATGGACTACATATAAGTGAACTTTTGTATTTTTAGTTTTTCTATTTCTAACAACAGCAAACAAACAACAGTAGCACATGGTGACTCCATCACAAAAACATTCAGCACGTTCCATACCATCAACTTTCCAGGCGCCACAAACCTGTGAATCAGGAAAAGGTTTGTCGTTCTGTAGGGCTGAACGACCTTTTACATAAGTTTGTACTCATTATGTCATACCTGGGTAATTTTATTTGCAGGTTTCCTTTCATGACTCAGTGTTTAATAACAAGCCAAGTGGGAGCTCAGCTTCCTTCTGTGGTACACAGAGTAAACAAGATCTGAATGGGTAACTAAGAGAACAGTGCTCTTAGGGAGGGATTAAGTGTTAAGTTGGCAAGCTACTGCAGCACAGCAAACACCGAACACAAGTAGAAGCAAATATAAACTGGTTGTTCTCTTGTGTACAGTGTTGTCTGAGTGATGCAGTGTGCTGTTCCTGAACAGTGAGAGCCTTTAAGATGCCTTCATGTGAATGCCTCTCTTTGTCTTTGAACATTAACATACCATCCAAGAATAAACAGGATCTGAGGTGATAATATATTACACATTAGCCTGGCTAACAGGATGTACTCAGGTCCATATGATGTCAAGTGATGGCCACACCTTCACTGGCACCATGATCTCATGACCTGATCTTTTAGTGTATTTACTTGCTCTGTTCTTGCAGGTTGTTTCCTCATATCTAATCAGTGTGAATGGTAGCATGGGAGCTTATGTGTATCTATTCTCAAGGGTACTATAACCATAAACCAATACCAGGCCTCCACAGACAATACACTGCTCAGCCTTTATGGCATTATAAGTCACAATGCTTGGGAACAGTAAGAAGCTGGAGAAAAGTTTCACATTGCTGCAGTGGTAGAGGTTAAGTGAAGTTCAGATTCCCCAAAGATGGAAACTTTTGCACCGAATACATAAACACATAAAAGTAGATCAGTCGTAGTGACACCTTTAAGACAATAAAAACATTCAGGCTGACGTAAACGTGACTCTGCTGTCGGGGGGCTACACCCGCCTGCAGTAAGACAAACAGGAAAGGAGAAACGGATGTCCTCTGACCTGCAGGAGGGTTTCTTTGGGTGTGGCCAGCAGATTGACAGCAGCAGAAAGCTTCTGGAAAAACTCGACAGCCAGATCGCCCAGACCAATGCTCTGGATCCAGTCCATCAGCAGGTCCAGGTTGGCTCGGATCTGCACACCTCGGGACCACTGGTAGAACCCAGCAACAGATCCTAAACAACCAATTAGTCAGTCTTTAATCAGAAACATTTCTTTCAAAATCAGGGCTTCATCTGACACTAAGCACGATGGGTTGCATGCAAAAAGATAATGAGTCTGCACTACCTTATTTGACAAAAATCAATGCATTTTCCTGTTATTTTTGACCATTCAATAAACACAAATGTCTATCACATTTAAGTACATGGAAGCCCAATTAACAAAACAGGTTAAAGGAAAAATAAATGAATATGCATAACAATACAGAATAAACATGAGAATTAAATGTACAGTGAAGAACAGGAGTTTTTACACTAAAAAATAGTAAAGGTGCACAATAAATGTAGAAATAAAAGCACTTTTAGCTTGGAGGGCTGAAATGTTCTTTACGCTAAACGCTTTTGATTTAAAATGCTCAAATGGAGATGGGTTTTTTTTTTTTAAATGGGGTAAAACAATCTATTGCAGCTTTTTGTATGGGCAGTGGCCAAGTTTAAGAAATAAAAAAGATTATTGGCAAAGCAATCAATGGTTTGATCATATAATACCAATACATAAGAGACTGCACACACATTAAATGCAATACTACAATACTGTAACATTCATTAGACTTCACTTAATCCATTTAGAGATATGATGCTGACAAGTCTGCAGCCATGGTAGCAGCTCTATGATGCTGGACAATTAGAAGTAACGTTTCCTGTGTTTGCCAACTTAGTATTCACTTATGAGCATGCTAACATTCACTCAATAACTAAACAGCTTGCTAAAATCCTAACCAGCATGCTAACATGCTCATGGTGCCAGTGCTAATGTCCTTCATCTTAGTTTGCCTTGTTATTATGCTAACATTTGCTACTGGACTAATCAGCATGTTGAAAGTGGCATGCTGGTGTTTTACATATACCATGTTCGTCTTTTCAGATTTGCTTGTTGGCAAAATAAGATTTACTAAAGATAAAGTACCTATGAGGCTAATGGAGAGTTGTTAGTTTAGCATTTGAAAATTGAAAATTGGTATCTGTGCCACAGTTAAAGACAATCTATTCAACATTCATAGAGATATTTCACCTAAAAGAACAAATTTTATTGTGGGGCGAGAGGAAAAGTCAAACGACAAACAGCATCATTAGTATTCATCCTCTGGGAACCATGAACGCCTGCAAAATATTTAATGGCAGTCTCCATGCATATCCAAGTTGTGTGTCCAAAAACTGACAAACCAACAGCCCAACATCTACATTGATAGAGCTACACCACTTGCACAACTACAATCAAAAGTTAAAACTGGTTTCCTCATGTGGGACAGTGAGCTCAGATCTTACCTCTCTCCATGAGGGCGTTGAACAGTGATGCATTGATGAAGAAGAACAGGTAGGCACACAGTTGTAACGAGATGTCCGGATGCACCTGGAAGGCTGTGAGAAGCTTCAGCACCTCCTTCAGCACCTCCAGGATGCCTTCGAGCCCATCAGGCACTCGCAGCTGCCCGTTCTCTGAGAATGGATTCCCATCCAGCAGACCAGGCAGGGCTGAATACATACTCTGTGGGGAGAGGTGATGACATTTCACTTGGCTGTTTGATGTTGCCCTGCATGTTTTACAAAGTACTGGGTGATATGACCTTCAGAGTGGAAAATACCCTCTTCTTCTACCAAGTGTATTGCAACGTGGAAATCAAGCAATAGTAAGGCTGATACTGGTTGTTACTTCTCTCAGAAGCACATAAATCACAACATGTTGTACAGACACACACCTTTCCCTTTGCATCGTGTGATTTCTGATTCTATATAAATATAGGTCAATAAAGTTAGTAGCACAGAAATGTCTTTCTGTCGCCACATTAAGTGCTGCTGTGTACAGAACACAATGACATAATGACTCAGAGAGGAAGGCATTCACAGAGTGTACAGGAAAAGCTTGTGTTTCGCAACACAAAGGGCAGCCGTAGGGAAATGAATACCACGATCCTATAGTTACTCTGCAGTTTGTATCGTTTCAGACGATTAAAACTGATAGTAAGTACCCTATGGTCACTAATGTGTGCTAATTTTAGCTAAAATTAGATCGATATTGCGACTACGTTTCTTTTCTTCTGCTACTAATACACTAAATTCTACCATTTGCCACAGGGCTGTCATCCTGAAGTTATTAGAATTACTATTTTCTGATGTGTAAATATAACAATGTTAAGGCCCATGTCATTATTATGAGTGGGTGTTTTATCAAAAAGCTAGTTGTCAGGTAATAGTTACTTCTAACCATCACACAACCCTCTCTGTAATTTGGGAATCTTTCCCACCTCTGGTATTTATTTAATGAATGCAGCATTACATTTGTCAGGTTGCTAGAAAGTCTGTGGACTCCAGGTGGACAATTTAAAGCTCTGTAGTTGCTATTTAGGTGTACTTTCAGCTTGCAGTGGCTCAAAAACCTACTTGTTATAGCTTTAAAAATGCAGATTGCATGGTGTTTGACAGAGAAACAAGGAGTTTCAGTCCATTATATGTTAAAGACAGATAACAGTAAGTCCTGCCGACAGTGCAAAATCATCTGGCAAGCTGTTTTATTGAATGCCACCTCGCTGTCAGCTATTATCAGTACTCCTTCTTCTGACATAGTTCTTCCATTGTTTCACATGTATGACATCAACCAGTGGGTCCACGTACACACTACCACACACCATGACTAAGATAATGACCTCAGAGAAACTGAAAGAGACCATGAGTTCCACAATAACCCTGCATGCCTGAGGCAACAGGTCAGCTGATAGTTTACAGCAAATCTGCAGGTAACCAACTGCAATTTTGTTCACATTTCATTTATGAATAGCCTTAGAAGAGGAAGTGAATAAGAAACGATGTCTGTACATCATGAACATTCAGTCATTTTACACAGGAAATTAACAGAAAGACCTTTCTCTCCTCCTCCCTTACTTTCCTCTTTTGGGTGTTTCTCTGATGACAGTCGTTTTTCCTCTGCAGGAAACAGACTTCTGCTCATAGCTACTAATCCTCTCTTTCTCTCTGACACAAAAAATAGTTACCACGAAACAGATATAAATAACACATTGTGTAATTCACAGAGAAATTGCAACATTAGCTAGTGTTGTGACTAACAAACCTCCAAAAGGTAGAAAAAAATGTCAGACAAGTTTTCCTGGAATAGAACTCCTTCAACTAAGATTGATAGGACTGAATAACATCCACTATAGAGGCTATTTTTTCAGTGCAGACATTTTTACAGAAAAGTCAACAGAAATATGTCTGAGTATTCAAAACAACAGCACAGACTGTTCCTGCTTCCTTCCCCACCTTCCTCGAACAGTCACTGTGCAGGATGGTGGTGTTTCTACAGCATCTCCTATTAATAATTCCGACATCCCAAACATGTTTAAGAATTGACTTGTAAAAATACCCTGCTTGGACTAAAAAATCCTGTTTGCTAAGGTTTATCTCACAAAAGTTTCCTTATTTAAGGTTCAAAAAATCCTTTCATTACACCCACTCTTTCTTTATCATTGAATTGCTGGCAAAGTTTCTTTACACTTGAGGTGAACACAGAAACACTTTCAACCCTTAGCCTTCCACTGTCAAATCATGCACGTATTATCATTTTTCAAAATAAAAGTCAAACATCCAATTGAAGGAACCATTAGCAAAACACATTTCTGAGTGGAAGGGGACTTTAGATGTCTGCGCTGTGGTGCCAACTGAATTCGGCATAAACCAGACAGTCTTAATGAGCCCCTCCGGCATGGGAAAGTCACATAAATTCAGCCTGGGAGCATCTTGTTAGGCTGTAAAACTGCAGACAGACAAAACAGCAGTGCCAAAGCAAATGCAGACACACAGGAAGACACATCTAAGACTCTAAAAAGTGTATATCATAGTGTATCCCCAGAGTTTTACATAGATCAGTATTAGTTTCTTATATTTGTCAGGCCTCCACCAGACAGGCACATTTTATTTCTTTACACATGTGTGAGTAACATGACAAACATGCAAACCACAATCTAAAGTCTGAAATGCTGGACAACCATACATTTTTTTCCAGCTAAATGAGAGTTCACCACAGTTCCATAATTCTTTGGAGCCTTCTTCAAATCTCTGTAGACGTGCCAGAAATTATTTGGGTTGTAGATTCCAGGTCAAATGGTTAACTTAGTGGTAGATATGCTCTCATCCGCCAAAAATGTTATTGACCAGACAATTGCTGATGTCACTTTCATAAGGAGAAATTGTTTTTGGCAGCAGGAGGAACAGATTATCAGTAAACATGTAAACTGAAAAAACAGAAAACACACCTGTGTTTTTACAACTTTGAACTCACCCAATCTAACAGGGACTTCTAGCTCTATTTAATGTTCACTGATTTTTGACTTTGCGCCAAACTAAATTACATCATGTCAAAGACGCTTTCAGTGTGGTTGCATCTCAGTCAAACAGATGACCAAAAAATTGAGCGCAACAATTTTTATATCACAGCTCATAAACCAACATGGCAGATCATTTAGTCAGATAATTTTTCTGTGAACCATTCCTAAATAGTGTCTGGTGGGATCTCCAGTTGATAAAGTTCTATTTTCAGAAATGATATGAATATAGGAAGGTGCACGCTGGTCTTCTCTATAAGTAATTTAGGGTAATAAGGCTAGTAGGTAGAGTGCAGTAAGTTCACTGCGGCCCATTTAGTTAACTTAGAGAAAACATGCAGAATTTTTCCCCCAATCTAGGGCTGCAAGGTGGCGCAGTTGGTAGCACTCTTGCCTCGCAGCAAGAAGGTCAAGGGGGCAATGGGATCTTTCTGCGTGGAGTTTGCATGTCTTCTTCATGCAGCGTGGGTTCTCTCCAGATTCTTTGGCTTCCTCCCACAAGTCCAAAAACATGATGAGGTTAATTGGTGATTCTAAGTGTGAATGTGAGTGTGCTTGGTTGTGGCCCTGTGATAGACTAGTGACCTGTCCAGTGTGTCCCCTGCCTTCACCCTAAGTCAGCTGGGATAGACTCCAGTGAGGATTAAGCGGTGAATAGATAATGGATGAATAGACGGTTGACCAATCTATTGTTTAAAGAGTAGGTACGATGCCAACCAAGACAGTCCTCATTATAATTATTTACCTTTTTGTTTGTATTTTAAATTTCTCTATACACCACTTTGGTCAACACCAGTTGTTTTTATAAAAGCACCTCAATGCAACTTTAAGAGAGAAAAAGGTCATCCGTTGTTCTCATTGTGGTTCCCACGAAATCAAGAATTCTGGGTTTGTTATTCAACAAGCCACCGTAACCTTGAGAGACAAGATTGTCGGTGTTTATATTCCAGTCAGTGGAAAAGACACCCTGCTCACTATCTCACAGACCTTTCCTGACGGAGAGTTTGTGTTTCCATTCTGTTATTGTGTTTTCTGTCTGGAATATTCTCAATGAAAACAGAAAATCTATTCGCACAGTCCAGCTTCCTGCTTCACATGTGACAGACGCTCAGCTTTACAGGTCAACAACATGTTAACATCATCCCTATATATTAATGTGTGGAAGCCAACCTTTGTTAGGTAGTAGACAGACTGCTGGAAGGTGAACATGATGACTTCTTCCAGGACTGTCATGGCTTCCTCACAGGCTGTTCGAGTGGAGGACATCTCAGAGTCAAACAGACCTGATAAAACACACAAAGACGCCTTAATAACACACACACACACTCGCACACACACACACACTGCAGGTCCGACAGCTGTGATTATGATGAGTATAATAACCACCTCGATCCTCCTGGTCCTGCCTCCAGGGCAGCAGCTGAGGGACTTCGTGCTGGATGAAGTGCAGCAATTCAATGGAGTTGGCCATCCACAGCAAGAGTGGCTGCAGACCTGGAATCAGCTCCTCCATACTCAGCAGTTGAAGATTCTCTGGCTGCCCATCACCAGAGCTCCTGATAAAAGCACAACCAGTGAAAAATTAGTGCTGACATAAGTATAAAAAGATAAAAATAAAAATAAACAACACTGACTTAACTAGGCTTTATAGTTAACACACTGATCTTTTCAACCAAGCCAAACACACTCTCTTACATCCAAACAGGTGAACAAGGACTTCTTCACAATGTCTGAGAAATTCAACCAAATATCTCGTCATCTACATTCTGTTCTGTCTGTGGATTAATTTGCACTGATTTAAGATGGAGGCTTTGTTGGAAGGTTAAAATCTAGATCCTATTTTAACCTCTGAATTAGGTCATTTTACTGTTTAAATGATGACCTATGTACTTTCGGGTTAACCTAGTGTCTTTAACTTCCTTTTATTGTTCTGCAAATCAGCAAAATGTCACATGCAACGACTTTTCATTCCTTCATATGAAGCCACGTTTTTGCTTTTCTGCTGTCACAAGTCAGAATCTCTGTTCTTCTGTTGGCTAAAATGTTTAGTTGAATACATTAATTTGCTGAAAGTTAATTAACATAACTTTATACTTTAGTTATTTTACTGCAACTGTGAAAGGTGATGATTTTCTGCTGTTGTCTGATTCATCCAGCGATGATCGTTTTAGTTACACTTTAATTTTTGACATTTCATAACAAAATAATTACTTACTACTTGTAGCAGCTGTTATTAACTGATATTTTTCTCTTAGATGCTTCTGAAGATGTGGTCACATTACTCTCGACTTTCTTTTGAAAATTCTCCTGCTTACTGTAACCGGAGCCCACACACTGACCTCTGATTCAGAGTTCGTTAACCTCTGAAAAATTAAATCACCTGCTGACACAGACAAAATGTAACCCAGTGACAGTGATAACAAAGCAGACTTTGTGAGCTTTGTAATCATGAGAAAAATCTTAGCTGTGTCTAGTTTCTATGAGAAGTGCATGTGGGAAATTGTGCCTTTGCACAACCTGGATTTAAGGAGCTTCGTTATTTACTGGAGGAGCATGTAGTTTTATTTAGACAGCAATACCGCAAGTGTCATATGTCATCGCAGGCAGCAGCAGGTCATTGTCATATATTTCTGGGACATTGTGAAAACACTTAGTCTACTCACATTTCTGGCTGGATTGCTGCAAGTTCCTTTGTCTTCTCCTGTGATGGACAACACATAAATAAGATATCCATTTCATGCAAGGATTATCAGTAAGCACTTGATTACTTTGCATTTGCTGTCACACTCAGGGGAATATAATGCTCAATACACAGAGATTAACACTGTGCAGAGTAAAGTTTCATCCTTACCCACATAACAAGCTGGATCTGACCGGCTATCCGGAGCAGCAGCTGCCTGAAGTGTGTCAGCTCGAACGTGGAGGCTGAGTGCTGGATACAGAGGCTCAGCAGGAAAGCAGGAGTCAGCTTTGGATCATTCCCACTGGGCTCCAACATGTCCAGAATCTCTTGCAGGACTCTTTCCTCCTGGTCCAGCTCGTAGCTTATTGAAGCCTCTGTGCCTTCCAGGTCTCTCCAACGAGGCGGTAACGGCTTCCTCTGGAACTTTTTTATGGTGACAGAGGAGCCGCACGATGAACAAGAGGATGAGGTTTTTGAGTCAGCATTCGGGCAGAGTCTGGTCATCCAAGGAGGGGTGTGGAGGGACCCTGATGCGCTGGTAGGATCCTTAAACATGAACAAGTAGTGTTTCCCCAAGCCTACCAGATCTCCTGGATTCAGTTCTACCTCCTCTTTCAGAAGAAAACCATTTCGGGTCACAGGAGCACCGTGAAGAGGCTTCAGCATCGTCATTGTCTTTTTGTGCTCTCCTGTGGAGGTCTGGTTGTTCGAGTCCAGGCGTCTGACGCAGCAGTGTTGTGGCAACACATCGGGAGCAAAAAGAAGGATGTCTACCTTTAATCTCTCCTCGTCTTCGCCGTTACTGTGCTCCCTGCAGCAGCCAAAGATGGTGGTGGTCCCACTCATCAAGTAGATGACAAAATCCTGCAAAAAGGAAGTTTTCATTAACTATTTTAATTTTAAAAAATCTATTTTTATTAACCTATAAACCTGCCATGTATTTTAAAGATTAATCCATAAATTGTCCTGTGAAATGTTCAATGTTAAGAAAATGTTAGAAATGGGGGGAAAAGCTGAAAGTAACAATTAAACAACTGATTATTAGTCTATGACAAGTTAAAGAAATGATCATCGAAATTTCCCATATTATCATAGATAATCATATAAGACAAAAAACATCAAATCATCACTAAGGATACTGGAATTCATTGTTTTAAAGAATGTCTTAAACGCCTGATTAATTTTCTTTCAATCCTTTAATTGACTAATCTCTTCAGCTCTTTTTTAATCCCAAATTCTTGAAGCAAGCACTGGTTCCAAAACACAGTCGGTGTGTAGGATGGGATTGACTTTCTTGTGTAACACTTTGGACGTGAACCAGCAGTGTGCATGTGAACAGCAGCAGGATCAGCTGTTAAAAGTACAACCTGCGCTGGCAGCATGAGGCGCGACAGGAATGGAAGGGCTTACGGGTGAGACGCTGGTGATGTCCGTCACCTCAGGGTCACCACATTAAGACTATTAGTCAGGTGATGATAGTGTCTCACCTTGCTGGTCAGAGCCAAGCAGCCTTAATGTGACGGTAGTGCTGTGACATTATACTATCTCCTTTACACAAGTGCTGTTAGTAAAGTCTCATGGCTCACCAGCAAAAGCCCAGTTTGTATTTTCAGTTAATGTGTTGAATGCCTTATGTCTCATTTTATCTCAGACACTATTTAAAGATACTTGCTGGACTCACAAGGTTTTAAAATAAGAATAAAAATAAACACGAATCATACATACACACTCATCCTACAAGTCAAAACCTGCCACTTAAATTATCTACAACGCAACACCACTGATAGTTTAGTAAGAGACCGGGGTGTGTTATTCCAGTAGCAGCTAATGTAGCCTGGAGCTTCTAGCCCAAAGCAAAGACAGGGAGGAGTCCACTTCAGACGTCTGGTAAGCTCAGTTCTGTCTAATTTCACACCACTGAAATGTATTTTCAGTCTCAGTCTTCAGACCCAACTGGCACTGATTCAACTACATTTACTAGTAGACACTTATCAGACTTTACACTACTTTTATCTCTTATATGTATACTCTGATGTGCATACATATAAGGGGAACTGTGGTGTTGCCCATTAAATTTCCTTTATTTATTTTTATTTTTTTAACACAAGCAGGACAAGAGTATAATTTTGTTTTGCTCCACTTGTTGATCTGTTAAGATATCTGTAATGTTTATCAACATTAGTTTAGCATGTTAGCATGTAATAGATCTGAAGAAAAAGTCCAAGGATCACTACAGTAAAAGGATTCATTCTCTGACGACTATGAATGTCTGAACCAAATTTCATGGTAATCCATCCCCCAAATGAACTACAGCTGATGGACCAATCATCATCAAAGCATTGAAACTCTGTTAACCACAGACTTATGACATTTCAGCAACATTTAGGCCCGTGTTTTGTCATATGGTGTCCCATTCAACTAGAAAAAGTCTCACTGAAATTAAGAAGCTCTTTCACAGGAGCATCCTGACCGAGATAAGCACAAGTAGTAGCACAAGTTAACAGGTTACAGACATACATATGACGATTTAAATAAGGTTTGCATAAAGATGTACTTCTTTTTTGTTGCAGTTCTGCCACCTTTTAGAAATGCCCTTTAATACAGGGTAAAGAAAGCCCATTGAAATCCACTGCTTAAATTTACATTTTAAGTTAATAACATGGTTGTCATACATAAGCTTGATATTCACTGGGTGGAAGTTATTTCTGTATCAATAGATGGCTCTGACGCTTTATATCAATTAGGTTACGGGTCATAATTTAACATCTCAATCACTGTAGGCTACAACAGTTAATTGATTAGTCAGAAAATTAACCTATAACTATTTAGATAATTGATTCATCATTTGCTGGTTCCTGCTGCTCAAACATGAGGATTTTCTGCCTTCCCTTGTGATATATGATAGAAAAACAGCCTCAGAAACAAAGCTAAACATCAGTTTTCAGTTCCTGTTTCTTGACCACTAACACACTCCAGACTCTCCTAGTTTCTTCGGTTTGGCTTTGCATTGGCTGATTCTAAAGAGTAAAACCAGGGCCTGCTGCAGCTCTCAGCTTGTTGCGTTGCAACCAGCATCCTGCACAGTCAGCAAACTTCACCAACAGGGAAAGAAAACATTGCGAGAAAGAGCTTCCTGTTCCTGGGAATGAGCTGAGTTCAAGCCACAGCCTGGCCCTCTGGTTTACTGAGAAAAATGAGCTGCGTAAACAAGTGATTCAAACTGCATCACCAGTATCGACAGGGATGGTGATACTTTGAAAACAAGGTGTAGTTTCAAACCCTAATCGAGCTTACTGGCATGTTGATTACAGCACAGCAGTGACAGTGTTTATATACTCTGAGAAAGCTGCTGTATAGATTATCCTCCTCCACAGTGCCTGTAATCAGGGTTATCTCCATGTTTTGACAAACGTCCTGAGCAGGCTTCCTTTTGACTGAATGGTGAATGCTCTGTTCATGGACCTTTCATTGGCACATGGTGACAGACAGCACGTCCTCTGTGAAAAGCTGAGCCTGAACAGGATTACTGGCCCGAACACACCTCTGTAGGTCACTTCCATTCGGAGAAATCCACTGTGAAGCTCAGAGTGCTTCCTCTTTGTGTCCTGTTACAACACAACTCTCTGACTCTGGGATTTCCTCCCTGAGGTTCTTAGCGTAAGACGTTCAATCCAACACTCTCGTGTACTTGTGTTTGCCTCAGCCTGTTTACATGCTGCCAGGAGACAATCAAGGATCTTATGCAGTCTGAAGGAGGAGTCCTCCCTTCCTCCAGGGCAAATTTTCCACTTGACCACACATATTTAGATATGAGATAATTTAGAGAGGCTGTTCATTTACAAGTGCGCCATGTAACTCGTTTGCTGTTCTCCAATAAATAAAGTCTTAGGTATTTGGTTTTCAGCTGTGGCATTCAGATATAGTTTTTTTTTCTAAACATAGGCTTTCAAAGCAGGCAAACTGGAAAGTAGATTTTGTCAGAACTTTTTTGTACGTTTACATTTTAATTGCTCTGTTAAAATGTAGATTATATATATATATATATGACTAGTAGTGAATGTCATATTTCAGTTCACCTTGGCATTTAGACATCAGCTGTGTGGGAACACTTTAAACTGAGCGATGACAAGAAAAAGGCACTGTGCCAAGTATGCAGTTTGAAACTGGCCTGCCAGGGTGTTACAACAAGCCTGAAAACTCACCTGAGGACTGTAAGTAGCAGTGTAAAAAACTGAGACCATAATGGCTAGCAAACTTAGCTTAGCTAATGTTTGGTGGCCAGCCATGAGTGCATGATGAAGCTGCTTTCATCTGCTGTTCAAACAATAACGTTACACATGATAAAAACATGCACTTACTTTATCATAATTATTACTGATCCAAAAAGTTAAAATATCTGGACATCTGGGGCATTAACATAGTTTGTCATTAACTCTCTTGATTCATTGTTAAAACATCTTCAAACTGGGCAAATTTAAAGAGAGCAGTAAGCAGGACTTCACATGGCCATTTTCTGGCATTTTAAGGCTGACTTAGTGCATGAATCTATTCTGTGGAAGAGGAGGACACGGGTCAGATGAGTCTGAAATGAACTGAACATTCTGAGTCAGTCAGTTTTTTCTTGAGAGGAGAATTAACTAATAAATTCTCAGAACAGTTGCTGATTAATCACCTCATCGAAAACATGTGATTACTTACAAAAAACAAGAAATGGAGTCTTATTTTGAGAAACATTTCTGGTATATTTATTTGTAAGACTCATTACGCACCCTGGAAATTACAAAGAATTATCTTTTGCTAAGATTTTTTTATTTCACTACTTGTATTAAATTGTTCGACATGACTGGCAAAGTTTCACCCGCTGGAAGTAATTATAGGGCAAGGTATGTCAGGTAATAAACGATGAAACACAAAGGGATTAAAAGTCATTATAAGTCAGTCTCTACTACATTGATTTTGGTCATTCTTTATTTAATGGGAAGTCTCATAGCAGGGAAATAGTTTCTGAGTAATCCTGTCACTCACCTGTCTGTGGCTGTAGCCCTGCAGTAGGAGGAAGTACGGAAAGTCAAATGGTGGGTGGATGGAGTACTGGGTGGTGTTGTCGTCGCTGCTCTCCGTCTCCTCTTTCTCCATGCCGAGCCGCAGCACCTCCTTGTCGGCCTCGGCCTCGGGATCTTCTCTGAGCGCGCTCTGTTGCGCCCGGCTGGCCTCCTTCCCCATTGCAGACAGATCCATCTCACTCAAGCTCCTCCAGAAGCCGAGTCCGTCCACGTCCTCCCCGCTGCCGTCCACAAACAGGGAGGTCACTCTGGAACGGCTCTTCTGCAGCTTACGAGCCTGAGCATTGATACCTGGATGGGCGAGTAGACGGTGTGTTAATGCAGAGTTTTGGCTGTCTGCTATTCAGCTGTTCATAGCACATAAAGCCAAAGACATACAAAAAAATACACAAACAGAGATGCCTTTGGATTACCTGTGTCTATCATTTTATTTCACTTTATTGTCATGCCTCATCCTTCACAAGAGACACAGAATCAAAAAGAAACCAATGTGCCCTCGAAGAAAACTTTCTTTAGCACCACGCCTGAATAAATCTACATGTCACTGTACCTTAAAAACGCCCAAATCTGAGAGAAAGGCACTTTTAATGAAGTTCATTTAGTTTTAGTCTTTAAAAAAAAAACATGTAGCCAATTTTTTTTGTCATTTGAGTTTTATTAATTTTAGTCACAAACATTTGAGCCTATTTTTTGTCAGTGACATTATAGTGACATTTTCCCACCCATTTTTATGTCTTCTAAATATTTTGAGGTGGCAGCTGTCGCCATCTTTGTGCACAGTTGCCACAGTTACAGGTGTTATTTTGGTCTACGGTGAAGGTTAGTGGAAAAGGTTCAGCGTCCACGTCCCTCCAATCTGCAGACAGACTCTCCTCAGGTGACGTTTTCAAACTCTGAACAGCTCTCTCTCTGTCGATCATGCTCATGTAGCATTAGCATTAACATAGCTACCAGTTCTCTCCACTGAAGCGCAGCATCTCAGTCAGTACTGAGTTCACTTACGTGTTCCCTAAAATTACCTGTCTGGGTTAACATGGAGAACATTATTTCAAGCAAAATTCCCTCGGGGAACGTCTAGAGGAGGATTTAGATAAGGTGCTGTCAATAATTCTGGAACTGATTCATTCCCTCTGACTCAACATGAAAAATGTCTGACGTAAAGTACCATTACATCCACATAACCTGACCTGAAAATGCCAGTTGCTGCCTGCTTAGTTCATAAATCTGCTTCTACTAAGAGGCACTAAGATCAGACAACACTACTGACAGAGACATAACATTGCCAAATATAGAGCTTCTTTTCAACGGCAGCACAACAGGTCAGACTGTTAAATCTACTGAACATGAGGAGGACATTTTTACTGATCAGGAGCTACAGTGTGTGCATTCACAGATTCTGCAGATTATAGAAAAATACCTGACATTTAACTAGAAATGAATTCATTTTTCTATTTGTCTGTCTTTAACATCATCTGTTAGTGTTTATTCATTGAAGAAAAAGCATTTCAAGCATATCGAGGTTCAAGTCTTGAAATGTGTCGACAAATATTTTTCATCATAGTTTTTGCTGATAAAGTTAACACTGAAGAAAAGCAGCTCTAAATGCATAGTATTCTGCATTTTCTAGAAAAAGATCAGGCACTGAAAGCACAACTAGCTTTTGCTGATGTACAGTCTGGAGAATCATCTTTATAGCGAAAGAGCAAATGTATGAATATTAGAGTTTGACACTAGTAAATTAAAACCATATTAAGTTGAGTAGAGATGACCACTGTAGGGTGAAACAGTACTTCATTATAAATGGATGCCTATTACACCCCATATGTGTGTTATCAAGTTGCATATTGCAGGCTCAACTACTTAACTAAATGTTTAAACATCCGGTTCTTAGAGTTTAAGTACTGTCGTTAAATTTCTTGTAAGTCTGACTAACAGCCCAGAACTCAAAGATATTTACTTTAAAATTAAACACCAGGACAAATCTTCATAATTTCAAGAGCGGAACTCAATAACTTTAGTTTTTTTTTTTTTCTTTCACAATGCTTTTCAATCAATCGACTAATCACGTCATTTATCTTCAGCTAAATCCATGCCAGACAAAACAGAAGAAATACAGCTTTTGTGTATCAAATGTTTACAACAACCAGAAATCACTCTGGTCAACTCAAACGCAACGGTTCACTGAGCTGGCGGCAGTTCAAGTGCAACACAACGAGAGGAAAGCGGGGGAAATGTGCAGGGAAAGTGAGATGTGGCCACCTCTATCTCATACCTACAGCCGCTCTGTCGACCTGACGTAACACAAACACTATTCAGCTCATTTGGAGCCATTAAGCACAGTGGAATGTCCAAAGAGCCCGGCTTCACACCCGGAGCTCTGCTGCTCTTATCAGCTGTGGAAATGGGTGTTTTCCACATTGTTCAGCACCACAGTGACAGACTGGGCACGCTGCCTAAAAAGCCATGGAGGTAAAGGGCAGTTTCCCTCGGTCAGGGTAGGTCGTGCCCAACAGAGCCATGAGAACTACTGCAGGGTTTGACTGATGTAGACTTCTGCATACAGATGTTTCAGGCTGCCCAGCTTTTGTAGGCTTCATTATTACACTGAAAATATGATGTTTACCTCCAAATGTTTTTCTGCTGAAGGTGGGAAAGTCTTTGAAACAAATTTATGAGGCACTAAAATTTACACAGTGTAAACCCAACGAATGACAGTCATTTAAAGGAATAGTTTTGGGAAATTTGCTCCATCCACTTTGTTTCTGAGAGGTAGATCAAGGGATAGCTACTACACTCACATATAAAAACAGTTAATATGAAGCTGGAGCCAGCATCCAGCTAGCTTAGCTGCGCACAAAGACTAGAATCAGTGGAAAACAGTTAGCACAGGCTCTGTTCGATGGTATCAACAGCTACAAACACCTCTAACAGTGACTTTTTGCTGGATTATATTATTTTATAGGGGTTTTGTGCCTGTGTCTTCAATGGTTGGCTATAAACTTCTTAGAGCCAAGACATTCAGTGCAATGTATACACAATGTACACAACGAATTTCTTGCTTTTACAATTTGGTTTTTGTAAGCGATATAAATTGGTGAGCTTTAGAGGTGCAGGCGGGCAGATTGTGTTACCTCTGGACTGTTTCTCGCCTTTATGCAAAGCTCACTGTCAGTAGCCTCATATTTGCAGACTTGAGTGAATAAGTGTTTTTCCCAAAATGTCCAACTATTTCTTTACATCAAACCCCAAGGTAATTAAGTATCTTTCAGAGGGTTAGCTGCCTTCATAACTATCAGCAAGTAAATTTCCAACACTGGTAGACTAGTATATGTTCAGTACCTGCTGGTGTAGATAATCATCAGTAGGTGGTTTTGTTGTCTGTGGACAGAAGCAGAGTAGGTTTCCCTTTGTTTCCAGTCGTTATGCTAAGTTAATCTAACTAGCTGCTGGCCTTGGCTTTATACATGCACAGATATGAGAGGGGTATTTATCCTTTAACCTTACAATTAAATCCCAGATTCCATACAGAGTGTATGCTTCAGCATTGTTGCTATAAATGTTGTATTTGTATTTGGGAACATGCCCTGGATTGTGCCAGGGATAATCAGCAGCTGAAACAGTCACTGATTGACTGGTAAATATCTATTTAAACATATAAGTAATCTAATGTCTTAGTGTGAATGTAGGATAAACTGTAAAAGCATCATACTTCAATAAATAAGTGAAAAACTATGCCAAAGAAATTAGATTTTAAGGTTTTGTATCATTTTTGTGTGGCTGTGATCAGGAGGAAGTTTCAAAATATCAACAGCACCAAGAGAAATGATTATTAAAAAGCCAGTATCAACAAAGCAGTGTGCTGGTCCAATGCAGATGAGAACCACAACACACTTGTGCCAAAGTCAACAGGGCTGCACAGTCCCCAGTGTTCAGGAAGTGAGCTCTGCTAGAAAGAATAACACAGCAGTCAGAGGCCACATTGTGGCAGCTACAGGCCCGGTGGGAAGAGCTGCCCGGTGCCTTGATGCTTCGCGGGGACCTGATGGGCCCTTGAAATAAAACAAAGATAAGAGCGGGGCCACTCTGACCTCCTCTATCCCTCACTGCAGCTTTTGTTTCCTCCTGACCTCTCTCACATGGCTACCATCTCCCCTGTTCTAGCTGGTGATAAGCTGGACAATAAAGGCTGTTAGCCTGCAATAAGAGGCAAGGATAAAGGCTCCCCATGCAGAGACTGAGTGATTGATTACCCAGCCGTAAGGATGTTAGGGTCACTGAGTATCTACATCACTGAAAAGGGCACAAACTTAGATCTCTGAAGAAAACAAAACATATGTTCAACCTATGAAGACGTTAGCTGATGAGTATACCTGCTGTGACTGTGTCTCTATCCTTTAAACTCTGCTCTTCGACACTCGCTCGTCGCTGGATTTCAAATCGCCTGGAGAAGCCTTCCTTGGGTTTCCAGAGTGACTGCAGCATGAGGGGCCTCTCGTTGTCACCCACCACCCTGAAGCACTCCCTCTTCCACTGGTTATCAGCACCCGTCTGGCCAATCACGTCACACAACACATAGTCATTGGCGTCTTCTTTTTCCAGACAGTACCTGAGCAACAAAAGCAGAGAAACTTTTAGGAGGATTGTGGGAGTGGGGGATGGATGGTAGCTGCTTTGAAACTGAATTTACGCACTGGTTTTAGGAATGCAGGTTAACCTCTACCGCAAACTTGTAGCACTTTTAGCTGTAATGTCCATGGCGATTTCTCTTTTAGTTTTAGTTTAGAAAGTTTCTGAAAATATCTTTTTTAAAAAACCTCTTTAGCTTGTTGCTTGTTTTTCCCAAAAAAACACACAAAATCCAAAGATAGATTAACTTAGAATACATAAAAGCAACAAATTCTCACAAAATTAATTTAATCTAATTTTGGGCACCTATGCTTAAGAAAAAGCTTAAACAATAGCCGTACTAACCACCACTTGGTAAACATGTTTTGATTTTGAACACAAATGAGGTGAGAAATAAGCTGTGCAATTGCGAAAGCAGTCTTCATTTTATGGCTAAAACTATAAAGTTGCTGATGAAAGGGATTTGAGAGTTGGTTTTGCTTCACAGTCATGGTCTGCTGTCTGATCCAGTACATACTGTTCAGGTTTAACTGGTGCTCAGTTTTTCCAGACTTAAATCTTGTTGTAAGGGGTCTCCCTAACATGTTTCAGCTCCATCTGGAACCTCTCACCTCTCTAAAGCCTCCTTCACCAGCTCCTTTGCACTGGACTGAGTGGTGGCCAGCACACTCTTGTAGTTGGTCCCCTGACAGATGTCACTGCCAAAGATCTTCAGGATGCCAGGGACGGACAATTGGCTGGACAGCTCTGCTGGGTCGTCTGCGGCCTGGATGTCTCCGGACAGAGTCCCGCTGCCCATCCCCTGGCCGCGCCGTCCGCCATCCCGTAAGTTGGGGCTGTGGTTGAAAACAGTTGAAAGCCTGTTGTTGTGGCGGCGGATTTTGCTCTTGGCTGGCTGCCGGACACCCACGCTGTCAGTGGAGCGGACAGTGCTGTCCGAGTTATTGGATCTGAGACAGACAAGAAAATATTAGGCCATCTTGCACATGCACCATGGTTGTGGCTTCTGTCTATCCAGACCGGAAACATGCATTGAAAATTGTCGACACTGATTTAGGGTTCGTACTAAACATTATTTTTTGTTAGAGTTTTCTTCAAGAATCATGACATTTCTTGGTTTGTAAAACATCAGAAAACTGTGTAAAATGTCTGTAAATGACAAAGCTTCAACCTTGAGCGACTGTAAATTACCACAATGTGAGACAAGGGAAGGCAGCCAGTTCTCTTGTTTGTGAACCTGCAAACTGCTGGAAAGGTGTTTGATTGACTACCATAACAAGTGCACATAAATCTTTTCTAAGGTAAAATAAAAGGCTGAGTAAAAACTTTGATCTGCAATCTGATTAACAAAGAGCAGCACAACTACCTACAGATACAGAAACAACCTTTTCACAATATTAATCATTATTCCTCTCTACTTAATGAAAGAAAAACAATGAAGAAGTTGTATTTATGTGAAGGTAAGAAAAATGTTTTCACAGCACTTGGACTAGGCTTAGGTGGGGGTTTTCTTACCACTAAATATAACACATAAGTGAAAAGGGAGGTTGTGAAGGATGAAATTCGTGAAATGCAACAAAATGTATATAAATGCTGTAAATAAAGCAAGACATGGGCTTACTGCAGAAAAAGGTAGAAGGCATCTGTACATACTTAAGAGGAGTTTTCTACAACTGTGTAACTCTTAAGTTAATTTTCAGTTACGAACATGATGGCAAACATCCTGACAGCTATTTTAAATTTTAAGCTGAATTAAGAAATGAAACAAAGATTCATTTTTAACATGTCATATGTTATTCTTGGAGCTTGTGATGCACTGATAATCACAAACAGGATACCACAAATAACGATGGCTTACGATTTAGAAATCACTATAATATAGTAGGGTTTTAAGGTCCATAAAATGTCAGAAAACAGTGAAATATGTTGGTTAGATGACATTTTCAAACAGTTTTGTTCACAGTTGGAGGATATTCAGATGTATAGAAGTGGAAAGAAACCAGAAAATAGTCAAATTTAAGAGGCTGCAATATTTTTTTAGAATTAATTTTAACAGTTAATCGATTATTAAACTGGTTGGCAGTGAAATTAATAGTTGACAACTATTCGATTAATGGTTGCAGCTCTGTAATGTAGATGCAAGCGGTCTCCCTCTGGACACTCTTGCTGTAAATGGACGATGCTGTTTAAACATTAAGATTGACAATAAGTAAGTTTTAGTAATCTGAATTGTGTCTTAATGTGAGACGTTACAATTGTCAGTAAATACTGTATATAATATAAACACTTAAAATAGCTTTACATCTACCTACAACAACACTATAGTGATATTTATGAAGTGTTTACACATTAAAAACAGGCATGAAGCACCGTGCTGTCATGAACAGACTTACTGCAGAGATCCATTGCTGGGTTTCCTGCCCAGCTTGGCCAGGCGCTTCTTGGGAGAGCGGATGAGTAAACCCACAGGGAAGTTCAGGGCTTGTTTATTTACGTGGCTGCTTCTCTCCTCCGAAATCATTATGGTCTCCAGTTGTTTTTTTCTTTTCTTTACACAAACACAACGAAACTAGCAAGATGACCAGAACATTGCATTCTTTGTAGCTAGCTAGCTAACAGCAGGAGATGAGAAGTTCTGGAGGATGAGGAGTGTTTTCTTCCCCACGAGAATAGTCCGCTTTCAGTTCCCAAAAAAGGCTTTTTTAAAAAATCAGAAAAAGGTGTTTAAACAGTCCGACAGTGTCTCTGCATCCATGAGAGAAACCGCTCTTTCCAAAGTTAGCGTTGTAGAGAAGTTCCCACAGGAGAAGCGCCGGTGGTTTCAAACTTTTAAATCGGACTTCTTGAGGATAAACTCCGAACTAAAGAGAAGGTTCAGCAGCAAAGGAAGAAAAAGAGACATTTTCAACACGCCGGTTATCGGTTTCTGAGTGGAAGTGGCAGGAACACGGGAGAAGCTCCGGTCCGGTCCATGTTAGACGATGTTGATCCGTTACGTCCTCGAGCAGGGACTCAATGAAACAACCTGCTGCTGGACGCACGAGCACGAGCCGCTCTGCTGACGTCACCAGTGTGGAAGGAGAGGGGGCGGGGCTTATAACACACACACAATGATCTATGTTTGTGAGGACATTCACTGATCTATACAGGACACAGCCTATAGACGTATTCAGCCTTCCCTGGAAGTTTTTATTACTTTACCTTTATTTAGCTTTTTGACAAGAATTTACACAAAAACGGTAAAAAGAAAAAAGTAAAAGCTAATTTAAATGAATTCAATTGACAAAAAATATAAAAGCATTTTAAGTGACCGACCTGGTCACTGGTAAAACAGTATTTTCCAAAGTAGATGTCCAAGTCACTGAAGATCCCATGCAGTAGAGTTAAATCCGTGATTTAAAAATGGAAGGAATATGGCACATACCTTGAGTAACTATGCAACAATGAGAAAAAAAAAAAAGGGGGGGGGCATCAAGATACCTATGACTTCTCTGAGGGAGTTGCAAGCTCATTGTGGAGATGATGTGTTTGTGATGATGTGCAGTGTTTAGTGTCAAACATAACATCTTGTCTGATGGCCAAAAAGCTCAACTTTGTTCTTATCAGAAGACTGAACTTTCCTTCAGTTGACATCAGAGTCTCCCACATGCTTCTGGTGAGCTCTCATCAAGATCTCATACGAGCTTTTTGAAACACTACCTTTCTTTTTGCTACTCACCAGAAAGCTTTAACTGGTGAAGAACAGGCAACAGTTGTTTATATTTAAGACACATTCAGTCCTCCCAGGCATGGAGGACACATTTCTGGAGAGATGTTTTACCTTTCCTCAGGGAAATTCTTTCAAGCAACGCACTTGGCCAAGTCATAGTTTTCACTTTATTCATGAGAAACTATGTGTGGTTTGGATCTTTAGTTTGCCAAAGCCAAAGATGATAACCTCACACTTGCTTTGTCTTGATTTGTCCACAATCCAAAGATTTTCAGTTTATTGCCACAGAGGAAAGAAACTAAAAGGTTATTCAGATTTAAGAAGCCATAATCCTAAAAAAAATAATCCCTCACAAACCACAAACCATGTCTGAACCGTCTAACGCAGCTGTGAGGACTGACCATAATGTCCTCATTACATTGCAGAAAGGTTTTATGTATAACCCTAGATTTAATTTATTTCTAAATCACAGAAACAGTCATCTGTCACAATTGCTCAGCACAGAAACTGTAGGAACTCAAATGATATTTTATTAGCCTCTGTGAGTCAGTGGGTGGATTCAAGACGCTGCTCAGTGCAACATTACATTTTGTGTATCACCTCCATCGTCAGCCTTTAAACTTACTCGGTTATTATAAACCACAAGATGGCAGCATTGTTTTACTCCTTTGTTCAAGTATACACTTCCACACACCCACTGGAGTCCAAAAATTCAACTGAGAGTCAATTAAGGAAGTTGGAGGTTGCAGCAGAGGTGTGATGGTTGTTGGCTCAGATCACAGCCAGCGTTCTAAAGGTAAGAGGGATCAACAGGGCAGAGAAAGAAACTCAAACTGACTGCTGGAGCCTCAGTGTTGTGACAATTTCTGCAATCGAGTAAATTCACAGAGAGCAAGTGTTCATCAGAGTTTATTTATTTCAATATACTTTAAATATGCATTCTGGTCTCATGTCTACCTAAAACAAAAGGTACCAAAAAGAAGTTACATTTAAACCTGATGAGCTCTGTTTCTCTTCCCCTCTCAGCAACAGACAGCGCTGGGGGAAACCAGCAGCTTTAGAGCTAGGACGATGAGTTTTTGGTTATTCAGAATGCACATAAGACTGCATTATACTATTTTGCTTCTTAGACGTGATCATGAGTCATTGCTGCTATATATAACATAAAATACAATCAGCTGATGCATCTGAAACAGAGCATCTGCCTCCTGAAAGAGTTTTGTTTTTGTACCAAAGCATCTGGTTTCAGTACAAAAAAAACAACGTCTGTTTTACGAGTGTATTATGTGATACATTTCCAAAATGATCTTAATGTAACTACTACTCCCTTTCTAAGTTTGTGAAGTCATCCTTAAGTTTGTCCATCAGCTGATTTCAAACACATAAACAGCTGATCAGGTGGCAGCACCACCTGTAGCGTCAATGACTGAAATTAAGGGTTTAGATGGACCACAAAGGACATGTTGAGGTTTAATCTTCTCAATTCCGATAAATTATAGACACATGGTTAAAAATTAATGTATGCCTTAAATCTGTATTAATTTGTTTTTTTTTATTTTAGGAAACCTCCACACAGTTATTGAATTATTTATAAGCAGGCCGTGTTTGAAGAGTTGTTGCTACAAGGTTCAGTTCTCCTGCATTTGTCTGTGGGTTCTTTTGTCTTTTTGACATAATAAGTATATTTGCACCAGAACAGTGTCTCTATGTTTGCCATATGAACACAACTATTTCCTTTGTTTTTAGTATATAAAACTCTCCACATGTGCAGAAACCACAAAGAGAACACTGAACTGCAGCAACAGCATCCTGAAAACGAACTGACTTTATGTCACAGAGATCTGTCCTGGTTGTACAATAATACCACAGACCTTAGGCCACAATGTGTCTTGCTTGCAGTCCACATGTTAGTATGGTATGTTAGACTTTTAAGTTGTTTTTTTTTCTTTTTCAACACAGTACAAACTGGATCTGAGACAGAAAACATCACTGAGTCTGTCTTATGAAGGTAATTTAAGGAACGCTGATGAACGTTGTTTTTTATCAAAGTATTTTTCTTCTCTTTGCAGACATGAACTTTTTTTTATGCCTTTAACTGTCCCGATGAAAGCTTTGCATGTAAAGTTTGTTCCTTGTCTTTTAATTTCATTTTAGTTTCATTTGCTGTTTTTGTTGTATTTTATTTTTGCTTTCGTTTTTTTTTTTTTTTTACCATCTATACGCTTACGGTTCATTAACATGGAAGCGTGCAGCCAGCCAGCACTTTGTTTTGTAGAAATAGAAGTGGAAAGCCTTTTAAGCTGTTCACAAATAATAACTCAGCTGTAAGCTCTTGTACGTCCTCACATGCGTCTGCTTCATCCCGTCCACTGAGTTTACCACAACCTAAGGTGTGTAGATTAAACACTACGGAACATTTTTGCTGGTTAAGATAATCTTCTGCTTATAAACTCTAAAATGAACTATATCAGAGGCAAGAAACAGCAAAACAGAAACACAGCAGTCTGTCATACTTTTGAAATAAGCACATTTTCTCACTCAAATATGTCTATCTCATAATATAAAAATATCTACATATTTTGTGTATAAATCCTTATTTGCTTTTGACTAGAAAAAATAGGTGTACAGGCAGAGTGTCAGCCACAGCAGATGATTTAAAAACACTGGTGGGCAACTGTGAATCTCACACAAATGTTATTTATGTGTGGTCTCCTGTGACAGAAGTCAAAGGTGAAGCTTCTGTCCTACAGTTAAGGCAAATTTATGCACAAAGTGCTCCATCTAGTGGCAGAAAGCTCTCCCACAGCTGAATCTTAATTCATCAGCAGAAACACTTTAATACACATACAGTTGAAACCATACATTTACATACACTGTATAAAAAAGACACAAACTTTTTTTTCTCACTGTCTAAGATTAAATGTGAATAAACCTTTCCTGTTTTAGGTTAGTTAGGATTACTAAAATTATCTCTACTTATTAAATGCTACAATAATGAGAGAGAGAATGTTTTAGAGAACTTTTTTAAAACTGTTTTTCAAACTCAGAAGTTTACATACATTTCCTTAGTATTTGGTAGTATTGCCTTTAAACTGTATGACTTGGGTCAAACGTTCTGGGTTTCCTTCCACAAGCTTTCACAATAGTTTGATAGAGTTTTGGCCCATTCCTCCTGACAGAACTGGTGGAACTGAGTCAGGTTTGTAAGCTGCCTTGCTCCATACGCCTTTTCAGCTCTGCCCACAAATTTTCTACAGGATTGAGATCAGGGCTTTGTGATGGCCACTCCAAAACATTGACTTTGTTGTCCTGAAGCCACTTTGTAACTAATCTGGCAGTATGCTTCGGGTCATTGTCTATTTTGAAGACCTATTTGTGCCCAAGCTTTAACTTCGCTGATGTCTTGAGATGTTGCTTCAATATTTCCACATAATGTTCTTTCCTCATGACACCATCTATTTTGTGAAGTGCACCAGTACCTCCTGCAGTAAAACACCCCCACGACATGATGCTGCCACCCCCATGCTTCACAGTTGGGATGGTGTTCTCAGACTTCAAGCTTCCCCCTTTTAACTCCAAATGTAACGATGGTCATTAAGACCAAACAGTTCAGTTTTAGTTTCATCAGACCACAGGACATGTCTCCAAAAATGAAGGTCTTTTGCCCTGTGTGCATCTGCAAACTGTATGTTTCATTTGGAGTAATGTCTTCTTCCTCTCTCATCCTTTCAGTCCATGTCAGTACAGGACTCGTTTCACTGTGGATAATGACTCTCTGACCAGCTTCAGCAGCATCTTCACAAGGTCTTTTGCTTTTGTTTTGGGGTTGATGTGCACATTTCACCCCAGAACACTTCATCTCTGGGACACAGAGCCCGTCTCCTTCCTGAGCAGTATGATGGCTGGACATTCCCATGGTGTTTATACTTGCGTATAGTTGTTTGAACAGATGAACGTGGAACCTTCAGGCATCTGAAACTTGTGGAGGGCCACAATTCGCCTCCTGATATCTTGACTGATTTCTTTAGATTTTCCCGTGTTTTCACAAAAGGAGGCAGTGTGTTTGAGGTGTGCCTTAAAGTACATCTACAGGTGTGCCTCCAATTAACTCAAATGTTGTCAATTAACCTATCAAAAGCTTCCAAAGCCATGACATCATCATCTGGGCTTTCCCAAATAGTTTGAAGGCATAGTAATGTTAGTGTATGTAAACTTTTGACTTTTATGAAAGTAATAAAAAATTCTCCAGAAAATTCTCTCTCTCATTATTTTGACATATAACAAATAGAAAT